CTGTTCGAACACGCAGAACATACACTAGAAAACATCAATGTCAGACATAAAGAAAGCAAAATTTTGGAATTCTTGTAATAACAGAGAAACCCACAAGAACACCACATATCACACAAAATCCTAAACAGGACCCATCAGAAATTAAGCACAAATTAAAGTTGTAACCTTTTGTATCGCCTGGGTCGAGCAACGGAGAGGAATATCTAAACAAGACAAAACCCGAGAAGAGAACTTGAGACGACTCGACCAATCCGGCTGGAGGTGAAGACTGAAGAGCACACAACAGATGGATGAAATTGGATTGAACTTTTTATCCTCAAATTTATTTATGTTTTTCTTCAAATAAAACTAGGCTTGAGGCCCAATGGGCTTATCATTCATTACAAAAAATAAAGTTGACTTTATTCAAACTTGAATTAATGTTATATACACAGAAGAAATGAATTTGGTGATAAAGTCAAACAAACACAAATGGTAAAAATCGGTTAAAAGCTTAAAAGAAGATTCAACTTTAGTTCCAATGGCGGTCGATGAAATCCCGCCGCAGCACCAAGTGTTCATCAACTACAGAGGAGACGAGCTACGCAAAAGCTTCCTCGGATTTCTCGTGAAAGCAATGAGAGACGCGAAGATCAACGTTTTCACAGACGAGATCGAAGTCAAAGGTACAGATCTACATAATCTTTTCATGAGAATCGAGGAATCGAGAGTCGCTGTTGCGATTTTATCCGACAGATACACCGAATCGAGCTGGTGTTTGGATGAATTAGCGAAAATGAAAGAGAGGATTGACCAAGAAAAGCTCGTTGTTATTCCAATCTTCTATAGATTGGATGCTACAAACTGTAAAAGACTTGTTGGAGCTTTCGGCGATAATTTCAGGGATCTAGAGAGAGTTCATCGGAGTGAGCCTGAGAGAATCCAGAAATGGAAAGATGCTTTGATCTCTATTCCTCAAAAAATTGGCTTCACTATGGCAGGACACAGGTACTAATATACGGCTTGGCTTCGCATTTTTTTTAGTTGTTGATATGCCTTGAATCGGATATCCGTGAATATCCCAAAAAAATTTGGATATCCAAAATTTTCCGAAACAAAGCAGATCGGAAAATTAGATATCCGGAAAAAAAAAAATCGAATCACGAATACTGCATCTTTTCCGGATATCTGCTTCACGCCTAGCCCTACTAGCTTGAGAAATTTTTTGTCATCGATTGTGCAGAATCCTTCTTTATGAATTTTAGAACATTTCTCATTGGTAATGTCAGGGATGAGTCTGAATTGGTTGATTCAATCGTTAAGGAGGTGACGAAAGTGCTTATCGATATTTCAAGCAAAGAAAGAGATAATATTTCTAAGGATTCCACCAACACAGAAGGTAGTTTGTAAAATTTCAAATTGTGCTTTTATGTTTGCTTGTGAAGTATGATCAAAAGTTGTAATGAGATCCGTAGT